CATTATGGTGTCACTTGAATAGCTTTCTTGTATGTAGCAACCCTTTATATAAGAAATCATGATTGGAAACGCAAGACCTGGAATATCATATCAACAGGAGGTATATACTTCATTTGCAAGCCCTGACAGAATAGTCAGCTACATAATAATGGAAATATCACAATTGGAAAGGTGAAATTATCTCTTCTGTCGTAATGTGTTGTTCTCAACCGACCTATTTTGTCAATTTCTCTGTACAGTGTATATATCGAGATGGTATAGATACAATCAACATAGTCATCAAGCTAAAACTATTTAGTGAGAAGACTTCATCTTTTTAGAGGAACGTAAAGTTAAGGATGTTCGCACTTTTGAGATTTGTTAGATATTCGGAATCCTCCGGTTTTACCCATGTAGTGTCATTAAAAATTTTGCACGCTAACCCCAAATTTTCTTTCCATAATTTTATTACGTATAGTTTAAAAAGTCATATTTGAAAATCTTATAAAATAGTTGTTGTATTTTCATATTTTTGAAAGAGAAAATTTGCCAATGTTATATGTATGAAAAGTCTAGAGAAAATCATTTCCCGCAAAATTTTAAATGGCTCATATCTCGACAACAAGGACACGGACCCTTTTCTGCTTTTTGAGTTCCGTTATTTATAAACTACCAATTTATAACAGTCTTTTAAAAAGCTTGTTATTTTGAAACAGAGTAGCGAACATCCTTAAAGGATCATGTTACCTTTTTATATTCTGTCTGACAAGCTTCTGTATGAAATCTTTCTTGTATGAATAATCACGTTGGCAAGAACGTGAGTTGGTTCCCATGGGAATGCCGATTTTTGTTAACGATTCTATTTAGTCTACATTGATTTCTGATGAAAAAAAACTATCCGAAGACTCCCTAATATTTTCATACCATTCAACAATCAAAGTACTGAAGTACAGAACATCGGATGACCGCAAGTTCTGGTGGATGGTCACAAGCACTTGTCTCAGAAAAAAAATCATATCTCTATACCTGAAAGTTAGGTTAGGGTACATAGATGTATTTTTTTTCTGAGACAAGTTCCTGTGTGGATGATGGATAAATGACAGGAAATTCAACCTCACCGTAATAATTATTATATTGTAGTGATATAATCATTTGTTATCAGTATACTCTGGTTTGTTGTTATATATTATATTAATATTTGTATAACAGTTATATATATAGCAGATCATCTTAATAACTCTACAGGCAAATTTTCATCCATTTATATATCATTCTATTCTACTATTCTAATGACAGTGCAGTGCAGTGCAAGTGCATGGTGGACACTCTTCTGTAATAAATTAATTCGTTTTTCTAATAGATTGGATTTGAGTAGGCATTCATATTTTCCCGCTTTTGTTGCAAAACGTTCTCGAGATATTGTTCCGCATGCGTTAACACAAACTTTCGGTATTCATGATTTTTGTTATTGATATATATATTTCTCACGACAAAAAATTTTCATATCATTTATCTATGTTCTTAAAAAATATTTTCATGAATATTTATTGATGAAATTAATATATAACAAGCGATAAGGAATGTTATTTTGCACACGTTCGGTTATCAGTCAAAAGCGCAAGGAAATTTCTGCGGCAAAATAACACCGGTATGACATCTCAAGGTCACATCCGATGTAAAAATGATTTCAGAAATAATATATCATTAATTCTTAGATAAACTCTTTACACGGAATTTTGAGAAATCGCAATTCAAAGTAAAATAAATGGTGTTTTTCGCCGCCATTTACGTAATTCCCAAGGCATTTTTTAGATATATTTAGTGCAGTTTTAGTATTATAGAAGTCTATTTCTGCATGGATAAATCCTTTTTTCAATATTCAAACGCAGTTACACGAGTTTTAAATGCACACACAATTGAATAATCCGGTATTTTCTATTTATTTACATTTACTGGCTTATCATTAATCTGATATGCACAGCACTGATTATCCGACCTTTTTCTTGATTGGATACTCCTGTTTCACAATTAGAACTTTATAGGAAAATTTTCGACAAAAGAGGCTTTTTCCATCCCATATTTCTATCATAAATTTCCCCTTTTTAGACTCGGATGTTCCTTAATTTGATCTCTTCTTACGGTGTGTCCCATCTCAATCGCTGTGATGCATTTGCGTCGTGCATTTTAATGAACGGTATTCTTTGTTTAGGGAGATTTATTGATGTCAAGTGTTTCGTAATCATAAATAACCTTGAACATTTATTATTTATTTTAAAAATACAAAGATTCAATTTGAAGGCCAAAGTTTGGCTGCACCTGCATTAAACTTATTACTAGCTGAGTATCACATTCTTATAAGTTCATAGCGCTCTCCATTTAAGATTGAATCCATTTAAAACTTATAGTTGTCGTTTGTTGATGTGGTTCATAAGTGTTTCTCGTTTCTCGTATTTTATATAGATTTTAGACCGTTGGTTTTCCCGTTTGAATGGTTTTACACTAGTAATTTTTGGGGGACCTTTATATCTCGCTGTTCGGTGTGAGCCAAGGCTCCGTGTTGAAGACCGTACTTTGACCTATAATGGTTTACTTTTATAAATTTTGACTTGGATGGAGAGTTGTCTCATTGGCACTCATACCACATCTTCTTATATCTATTTGTGTTTTTTTATTGTCAAATTGTTATTTTTTGTGTTTTTTTTAAATTGTGTTTAGTACTCATCTGACGAGTCTAGCTCCCTTTCATGTTATGTTTACAGATTGTTCTATACATTGTTCTATTGGTGCACTGTTACACCACTGTTCCAGGTTAGGGGGGTGATTTAGCACTAGCAATCATATTTGATTTAAGATCTTTGATTGTTTTTGTTAAATCTATAATAAAATCTTATAAAGTTTTGGTACGATTTAGAACTTAACATATTGTATAAAAACCTGTCTATTGTTGAAGACTGTATGATAACCTCTAGATTTATTTTGGTTATTTTTATCTCCTGCCCCTGTCTTTGACGCAGATCCAACATCTACTCTTATTAGTATTAAATACCGTCACTTTTATTAGTATTTTAAACACGTTGCATTGGAAATAAACACATTTATTCTAAAACCAGTTGTTGGCATGATACGGGTTATTTTCTTCTCATATATTTTATGATGGTATGATACTAAACACCTAACGGGAGGGATTGTGCTTGACTTTCATATGATGAAGACATAATCTTTCAATCGGTTTAATTGAGGTCTGGAGCTGGCATGTCAGTAACTGCTAGTAGTCCTTTGTTAATTCATGTATCATTGTCATTTTGCTTAGTTTCTTTTGTTACCTATTCTGACATCGGACTCGGACTTCTTTTAAACTGAGTTTTACTGTGCGTATTGCTGTGTGTTTGTTTATTCTACATTGGCTAGATGTATAGGGGAGGGTTGAGATTTCACAAAACATGTTTAAACCCGGCGCACTTTTGCGCCTGTCCCAATCCAGGAGCCTCTGGCCTTTGCTAATCTTGTATTTTTTTTTAACTTTAGTTCATTTATATGTTTTGGAGTTTAGTGTGACGTCCATTTTCACTGAACTAGTACACAATTTTGTTAAGGGGCCAGCTGAAGCTCGCCTCCGGGTGTGGGATTTTTTCGCTGTGTTGAAGACCCATTGGTGGCCGTCAGCGGTTTTCTACTCTTTGGTCGGGTTGTTGTCTCTTTGACACATTCCCCATTTCCATTCTCAATTTTACGTATATCAACACCGTCACATTCTGTAGGTGTTTGACGCATACCCCACACCTACTTTTATTAATATCAACACCGTCCCATTCTTCAGGTGTTTGACGCATACCCCACACCAACTTTTATTAATATCAACACCGTCCCATTCTTCAGGTGTTTGACGCATACCCCACATATACTTTTATTAATATCAACACCGTCACATTTTTAAGGTGTTTGACGCATACCCCACACCTACTTTTATTAATATCAATATCAACACGTCACATTCTAAAGGTGTTTGACGCATACCCCACACCTACTTTTATTAATATCAACACCGTCGCATTCTAAAGGTGTTTGACGCATACCCAACAACTACTTTTGTTCATATCAACAATGTCACATTCTTTTGGTGTCAATCCCAAGCGCAGTAACTGTAATCTAAATGATTGTCGTTGGTTTCTGTTTGTCATGATGATATTTTGATTTTTATTTGTTTTAGTCAAAATCAGGTCGTTAGTTTTCTCTTTGAATACTTTCACATTTTGGCACCCTAGGAACTATCATGTATTACAGCTTACTATAGTTATATGAGTTTTATTCGATGTTGAACGGCGCCTTATCCCTTACAGCTACCAAGGTTTTTTTAAATTATGTAGTCGTTTCTGAGAAATTTTCAATATACCTTGAAATTATAGCTGATATCCTGCTTATCTTGGAACAGCTGGTAAAAATTGTATCAAAGAGTTAGAAAGATGCATATCAATGAAACATCATTTTTAGCCACTGTAATGTAGTCTTTGGAGGAGTTTTAAGTGGAATATAAATCTGCGTATTATCAAAAAAAATTGGGAAACAAATTGAAAGAGAGAAGAAAGATACCAAAGGGATATTTAAACTCACAAGTCGGAAACAAACTGACAATGCCATGGCAAAATACGAAAAAACGACCAAAAGACATACAACAGTATACACAATACAACATAGAAAACGAAAGACTGAGCATTACGAACCCCACCAAAAACCGGGGGTGGTCTCACGTGTTCCAAAACGATATGCAGATCCTGCCCCACATGTGGCACCCGTCGTGTTGCTCGTATAAGTACAAACCCGGTAATAAATTAGTTATAAATAAGGCGATGCATGATTGTGGTCGTCCGACACCCTACATTATGCCATTAATTTACCCTTTCCCGTGAATAAACATGCCATCCAATGACAATCCCCCTTTTCCCCTATAACCAGTCAACATTGCGACACAGAGAGGTCACGAAAATCTTTATATACTTACTTATTCAATGAATATCAAAGCGTTATTGCATGGTTCTAACAATTTTATTGTTGCGAATATGTAGAACATTGTTTGATTCAGTAGTGCATGGATGCTTCTGGTTTCATTTTCTGGTCTATTTTGTTATTTTTGATTTGGTAATGAACATTGGTATTGTTTTAAATATCTGTATATAATAATGTTTAAGCAAAATTTATGCGTCCATTAGCTTTAGAATATTTCAAGTGCCTTCAATTTATTTTATAATATCCATCCCTGTTGAAGAATCTAAACACTTCACTGCTGAAAAAAAATAAAAAGATTGTAAATCGACAATATCCTTTACCTTACAGCTAATAGTTAAAACGAACAAGAATTATGAATGAAAGAAATAAATAAAGTTAAAAAATGAATTTCAAAATTCAAACTTATCGTGAAAAAAGAACAATACATGGTGTAACTGTCCGCAAAAAGTAGAATGAAAATACATCTCCAGGTGTCATACGTCTGATTGTAAGAATATGTCTGGCTATTTTCTTCGTTAATGTCAATGCCATGATATATTAAACTACTGATTCGGCAATATATAAACACTGTTGTTGTCTTATTGACGCTTACCCAGCATCTACTTTTGTTCATATTGAGTCCTCAGGCGACACAGATGTGCATTGCTGGAGAACTATCAGCATGACAATACAAAATTGAAATGCTCGTAACTAACGGTCTGACGTCACTATGAATTAGCCGTGTGATGTAAGTTACTTACCTAGTTCTGTAATGGCGTACGTTGTTTCTGGGTAGTAAGGTGAAATGGGTCATCTTTATGTAGCATTTTGACTGTAACGATCCTGCAAAAACATTTGTAATCTACCATTATATATCATATTATAATTTGTAAAGTTCGTGTCTTTCCTTTATTGGCTTTATAAAAAATATATATATATATACTAACTAGAACAGTTATTGAAGTTAGATTTAACTTCGATTGAAATACAATCGAATATTAGCCACGTAGTATCTGAGAAATGATCTTGAACCTAATTACTACAAATCAATGGGGTATAAGATATAGGTTAGAGTGACTTAAGTTTTGTAAGATATAAAATTGAGAATGGAAATGGGGAATATGTCAAAGAGACAACAACCCGACCAAAGAGCAGACAACAGCCAAATGCCACCAATGGGTCTTCAACGCAGCGAGAAAATCCCGCACCCGGAGGTGGTCCTCAGCTGGTCCTAAATAAAATTGTGTACTAGTTCAGTGAAAACGGACGTCACACTAAACTCCAAAACATATAAATGAACTAAAATTAAAAAACATACAAGACTAACAAAGGCCAGAGGCTCCTGACTTGGGACAGGCGCAAAAATGCGGCGGGGTTAAACATGTTTTGTGAGATCTCAACCCTCCCCTTATACCTCTAGCCAATGTAGAATAAAGAAACACAAAGCAATACGCACAGTAAAACGCAGTTTAAAAGAAGTCCGAGTCCGATGTCAGAATAGGTAACAAAAGAAACTAAGCAAAATGACAATGATACATAAATTAACAAAGGACTACTAGCAGTTACTGACATGCCAGCTCCAGACCTCAATTAAACTGATTGAAAGATTATGTATTCATCATATGAAAATCAAGTACAATCCCTCCCGTTAGGTGTTTAGTATCATACCATCATAAAATATATGAGAAGTACATAACCCGTATCATGCAAACAACTGGTTTTAGAATAAATGTGTTTATTTCCGATGCAAAGACCCTATGAGTGAATCAATATTAATACCAAACTATGCAATCCTTAATGACCTGACAACAGTATCGTAACTATATCCCTTCCGAATAAGTCTGTTTAAAGGTTTGGTTAGCTTTTGAGGTGAATGCCGACATTAATGTGCTTTGTAAAGAATATTACCATAAAATATTGGATGTGAAATACCTGAACGTATAAGATGTCTGCATGTTGATTTATATTTAGGAATGATGTCCTTGTACCGGATGATAACATTTAGTAAATGTTTTGACTAGTTTGTGATATCGAAAACCCTGGTGTAATGATTGTACAGGGTACTTTACTTCCCAAATGAATCCTTACATCAAGTAATGATTACATGTATGAGGTCACTAAGTATCCGAGATCAGTATTTCGACGTAAAATCTCAAGATGTCAATGAAACAAACAAATTAGGTCGTGATGACTTAATTTTTTTAGAGATTGTAATGTTCTAAATTCATTACATCAAAATTAAAATAAGGAAATGTGGTCTTATTGCCAATAAGACAACTATCCACAAAAGACCAAAGAATAAAAATATGAACAATTGCAAGCACCCGTATGGCATTCAACAATGAGCAAAACCGATAATTATATAAAAATTAGATGTGGTATGATTGCCAATGAGACAACTATCCACCCAAGTGACAGCTCTCTCACAAGCAAAACACCCATATATACTCTGTAAAATATAAGGACCGATGATACTCTACAAGCAGGGGGACGCATTCTACAGCACCCACACAGCACCAGTAACAAACCCTGCAATCAATATAAAAATAAGGAGATGTGTATATGCTAAGCATACGAAAAGCCGTGGAATTAAAAACGAGGACAATTCGAAAGAAAAAAAATGCCTTTATACTACAATTTATAAACAAAAACCAACTATTGCAGAAAGAAACCAACACAAACCACTAGATTACAAGTTAACAACGTTAGACAGGCTTATAATGTCTATAGTCTATAGTCTGTAAAATGTAACATATACATTGTAATTGGCTTTTTTTTTTGTAAATATACAAATGTATGTCAAGTAATTTGATCTATATTGTACTACTTAAAGTAGAAACCTACCAGTTGGCTTCCAATAAGATTTGTTTACACATTTTGCTGTCTTTCAACAGATCGGTGAATTCGTTACACTGTGCCAGCTCTAATTGGGTCATGTTACCAAAACGTACACACTGCATCAACCTCATAAGTTCCTTCCTTCTCGCCTCCGTATCGTGGGCCATCCAGCGTACTGCAGTTCTAAACACTTCTAGTTCTGTGTCAATTTTAAGATTATCACTGCTCAGAATGACTATTAATGTTTCAATATCTACTTCTTGAACTACTTCTTCGTGTCTGAACGTAATAAAATTATCACAGACAGCCTTGATTGCTCTATCATACAGCATTCCAAACAGTACTTTATGCTTTATGATGATGCTGAGTGCTTGGGCTAATGGTAGACATTCCAGAAATTCAATTATACGGTTTTTTATCATAGAAATTCCGAGATTTTTTGCCATTGTCATCAAATCACCAATGACCTCTGGTGTGACATTTAACATTCCAGTGTAAATGAAATTGAGTAAAAGTTCAAATGCTTTTGGTTTGATACCTTTTAGTCTAATAGTAAGTGGAACACGCTGTTTTTCGCCTCTTGTATAAAACATATCGGCGAAAAAGTCGCTGAAACATGCCAAAGATATGCGATGAGCTGAATACTTATTAGTGCCGATGAAGACCAATACATCACATATCCTTTCATTTGCCTGAAGATGACGCATGTAGTCTCCAAGATGCGCAAAATGTGTTACTTGGTACATTGGTATTTTTTGAATACGCTTTAATGAATCTTCTACTTCTTGTGGGAAAGGAGATATTGACTCTCCTTTAAGAGCAGGAATAAGATTGTTGATATCTTTGGTATTTCTTACTGGGTGAATAAAGTTGTCCTCATCGGTAAACATTACAGCTGTTGCATGCTTGGTTAACTCGTTCAAATTGGGAACAGTAGATTGAGTTGCAGGAACTAGCTCTGTAAATATTTTAAAATCAATAAACAAGTAATTATAAACGATACAATAATAAACTTAATTTGATAATTACGTCCACACGGGCCAAAGCAAACCACACAAGTCATACAAATATACTTTATAACAATGATTACCAAATATTAATTGGCTGACCTGACGTGGCCCTCATTTTCGCAATTCAAGGGACTGCTTATTAACGTGACAAACGGCTGGTACAAGTTCAAGTTAAGAATTTAATATCTGTTTAATTTTTCACACTGGCTGGATGTATAACTTTACAAATTGAATGTATCTTTTTAATCTTGTGAAAATAGTTCTGAAGTGATTATTTTTTAACAATAAAGAAAAAAATATTCAATATCAATTTGTTTACAGGTATTGCATAGTCTTTTTTCTTTGGAAATTCTTGCAGCGTCCTCTTTCTTTTTCTAAATTATGACCACTGACTCGATATTTTGTAATTTCATGGATTTATATATAATAGAAAGGATCTTATTATATAAATCCTTAGCAATAAGTTTTTTTTTTAACTTGATTCATTTAACAGACAATCTTCTAATTTTATATCTATTTTGATTTTGTTATTAAAATTTTCTTCAAAACGGGTTTGATATTTTGATAATGAGATGTAGTACGATTGCCAATGAGACAACTATCACACATGGACCAACTGATGTATAGCAAAACCAATACAGCATAGTTCGCGATTAAAAGGCCCCGAAAAATACAAAATGTAAAACAATTTAAAAGAGAAAACTAACGGGTTCATGAACAAAATGTATTATTTTTAGTTAGACTTAAGGGTGTAGTCAGGTGAAATTAAAAAAATCCGAAATTTAAAATTGATGCTATAAATCAGAAGAGCATTATTTTAGGAACAAAATAAGCTAAACATATTGATAGGTTATGGAACTCCTTTTTGAGATATTTGATTTTCAAAAAATGGCGAGAAAAGGCTGACTCGGACTTTTACCTTATATTTAGCATTAGCATTAATATGGTCTCAAATTGTAAGAAAAGAAATCTAGAATCTGCTTGAATTTTGGTAAATGACGTTTTATGAGCTATTGAAGTCTTTTATGAAAAGAAAAGTTGGTGATATGGGACAAAATATGTTACCCTGTATCGTAGGAAAAAACCCAAGGAGTCCGAACATCTGACAAAATTCCTAAACCTGACCTGAGTACATCTATACACTTCAGGCGCGTAGCAACCCGTACGCAAAAACGCAGTTGCGTACACATCGAAAATTTGACAAAAATAAAATTATGGTAGATCTATAGTAAGAATAAAACTAAAGTATTAAACTAAATTAAAAAGTAAACATTGCTCAGCTTACTATAGCTGTTGGAGACCTAATCTTTGATGAATATGTAGATGATGCCAATGTTACAAAAGAAGAATTTCGATTTGAAATTCGAGATGGTTAGCAAAATGGAATGGAGATTTTGATGACATTCCTGACAACTTACAAGAAACTTTAAATGTTATAAACAAGGATTTATACCCGAAAATCTTTAACATACTTAACGTATTTACATATATGCCGTTCTCGACGGCAACATTGGCTAGAGGCATAGGGGAAAGGTTAAGATCTCACAAAACATGTTTAACCCCGCCGCATTTTTGCGCCCGTCCCAAGTCAGGAACTTCTGGTTTTTGTTGGTCTTGTATGTTTTTTTAAATTTTAGTTCATTTATATGTTTTGGAGTTTAGTGTGACGTCCATTTTCGCAGAACAATTATATACACATTATTGTTTAGGGCCAGCTGAAGCCCGCCTCGAAGTGCGGGATTTTCTCGCTGTGTTGAAGACCCATTAGTGGCCTTGGGCTATCTTTTTTGGTCGGATTGTTGTATCTTTGATACATTCCCGTTTCCATTCTCAATTTTATTTCAGTATCAATAAAACCCATACAATGAAAACCAATCGTTTATCTGGGCTTTGTCTATTGAACATATACCATGAAAAAATAAATTTCAGCTGACACGGTTTTTGATATCTTCAGTAGAAGAATGGAAAGGAAAAAGTCCTAGATTTTTCAGAATTAACTTTGAGAATCAAATGCTGAAAGAAAGACTAATTGTTCCCTTATAAAATAAAGCATAGAAAATTTGTGATTCTATTCATTTATGTATTTTCTTAATTAAAAAAATACCCTTTCAGTTGCACCGGTGTTGGCTTAGAAATTTGGTTTTTCTAATGTAAAGTGGGCTGAGCCTGATTAGGTTACAATTAGAATATATGGTGATGGCACCATATATTTTAATTGTACTTTTAAATACCTAATCAAGCTCAAAAACAATTTTTTAAGCCCACAGTACTTGTTTGTTTTTCTCTATTTATTTTTTTTTTCAAATTTGTTTTCAAAAGGTGATTTGTTATTCATGAAAATAAGATTTTCGTGACGTCATTTGAAGTCCAAGGAAATTGCGAGAATGCACAATTTATTCCAGAGCTTCGGGGGGCCTTAAGCGGCCCCATACTCTCTGCTGTATGATATACTCCTCAGGCATTGAGTACACATCATTTTGGCCTAGCTACGCGCCTGCACTTGAAGGCACCAGTATGTAATTTTTTGATTTACTGGAATATCGTTAGTTTAAACAATATTTTATTTTTTTCAAAAGTGCACAAATTACAAATGTACAATAGAAATACAGGGATTTGGAAACAAGAAGAACTTATATAAATCCGTCTCCCTTAAAAAATCAATGTACTGAAGTACTGAACATCGGATGACTGCAAGTTCTTGTGGATGGTCACAAGCGCTTGTCTCTGAAAAAAAAATCACATCTCTATACATGAAAGTGAGGTTAATGTACAGATATATTTTTTTTCTTAGACAAGTTCGTGCGTGGATGATAAATAAAAGACAGGGAATTCAACCTCATCGTAATAAATATGATATTGAAGTGATACAAATCAGTATACTCTGGTTTGTTTTTATATATTATATTAATATTTGTATATTACAGTTACATGTATATATGATTTTCATCCATTTGTATATCATTCTATTCTACTATATTTATAATAGTGCAGTGCAAGTGCATGGTGGACACTCTTCTGTAATAATTCGAAATTTCTAATAGATTGGATTTGGGAAGGCATTCATATTTTCCCACCAAACTTTCAATCTCCAATGCAGAGTTATCGGTCCTTGAGAGAGAGCGAGGACCGACAACTCTGCATGGGAGATTGCAAACGTTCTTGAGATATTCTTCCGCATGCGTTAACACACATTTTCTGTACGTGTGCATAGATATTAAAAATGTTTTACTTATATATATATTTCTAACGACAAAACATTTTCATATTATTAATTTATGTTCTAAAAAAAATATTTTTAGGAGTATCCATTGAAAAAATGAATTTATAACAAGCGATAAGGAATGTTATTTTGCACTCGATAATGTCCGCGTATTTATCATGTTTATAGATCGGTTACAATCCCAACACGAAAGTTACGTAATGGAAATCTAGGCGACAGCAATACACCGGAATGCCCTCACGGACATCCGATGTAAAAATGACAAAATTGGGAACATAGTGGAAGAAACCCGCATACTATAATTTTCAATTTACATTTACATGTTTATTCTGTGGTTTGCCAGTTACTCAGAAGTCAGTTTGATCAAAAATTGATCAACTCATTTTTATAATTATGGTCTCGCATGTAGCTGTGAAAATATGTAAATTTCAAAAAATAAGGTTAATAAATTATAAATTATAAAGTTTCAACATCTAAATTGACATAAAAATAAAAGTTTATGAACCAAATCTCCCTGTTTTCAAAATAAAACTTTGTACAACTTTAAAAATATTTTCGTTTTCCTCATCACTGATGAGTTCACTACCTGATAATAATGTTTGCATATTATATCTTGATAGTGTGGAAATGGTTTGTGTCCTAATGAGTCTATAATTATGACATTCTAGCAGATAGTGTTTGCTGCTCTCAACTTGTCCACATATACAGAGGCTGGAAAGAACAATATTTTTTTCTGGAAAAGGTGTTCATTTAAGCCACTGCAGTTCAACCGGAGTCTGGCGTGAAGTATTTGGCCTTTTCTACAACCAGTATTATGATATGAAGGGACTTTCTTAATATCACGATTTAAATAATTTTTAAGTGATTTTTGTTTGATTACACCTTACATCTTGTGGAAGGCTGTTCCATTCACGAATAACAGATGGTAGGAAGGAATTTTGATAAAAAGAAGTTCTACCGTTCATGTTTTGAACATTAAATGCCCTTCTAGTATTATAGTTATAAACTTGATAAAGTTGTTGAGGAACGAGACTACAAAGATAATCGGGAGCTTGATCATGAAACATTTCGTGAAATTTGATAATTTTATGTCTAGATCTTCTTTCACTCAGAGATACCCAACCAGTACTATATATAATGATGTATCGTCAGCGAAAAGTCTAATGTTGCATGATATGTCACATACAATATCATTTATAAATAATAAAAATAATACAGGGCCTAAAATTGAGCCCTGGGGGACACCGGCTTTAATACTATAAACATCAGAGGTCTGTCCTCCTATGACAACTCTTTGTCTTCTCTCAGATAAATAACATTTGAACCATTTCAGGAAGTCCCCTCTTATTCCATATTTTTCTATATATAGTTTATGAAGGAGGCCTTCATGTCAGACCCGGTCGAACGCTTTACTGATATCACAAAACACAACTCTGATTTCCTTCCCAGAGTCAAGAGTTTTAGCAATATCGTGGGTAATATAAATAAGTTGATTAACAGTACTATCTCCAGGCATAAAACCTGATTGCATCTGTGTAATTATTTTATAGCGAGAAAGAAAATTAAATAAATATTTAAAAACACATTTTTCCATCGTTTTACCAATAATAGACAACAGAGAGATTGGTCTATAGTTGGATAAAATTTCTTGAGAACCACTCTTGAAAACTGGTATTACATTTGCTATTTCCCAGTCATATGGATAAATGCACAATTGAAGTGACTTAT